GTGCCCTTGAAACACACAATTTACGATAGGCTTCATCCACTATCCATATAATATATGTTTTAGGCAAGACTAAAAGCAACGATGCTAAGTGTGAACGGTAAAAATCAGTTCTTTAGATGAAAATCCGCGTGTTAAAGATGAAAACTACATTTTCTGAATTGAGGGGCTCACAGCCTCTTTGATTCATTTTCAGGTCAAGTGTCTGAGCCTTGTCAGAGAAAACGCTAATAAATACTTTTAATTAAGAAATGACTGTAATCGGCTAATATTTTAAATCACCCTTCGCCTCCCCTCCCCCAAAGGTCGAAATGAAAAGACTCCCTGCGCCGGCCTGCGAGTGTTTTCTCTGTGCTGGATATTTGTTCCAGTTATCGACCAAGGATGTAAAATCAATTTCGAATTCTTTATTTTAAAATGTTATGGGAAAATAAATTTTCCCGTGATCTTTGCGTCCCGTCAGTGTCTTGAATTTATCCGATCAGCCGTAGGTATTCATACGGCTGTCGCATTACAGGTTTCACTTGTCTGAGTTATTTCATCCATTGGCTTTTATTCGACAGTGACCTCACTCTGAACAATGATACGCTGTAAATCCAGCTAACAGCAACACACACGAATTAAATTCTCAGAAAGCGCACCAACAACGAACTCAACCTTTAAAACAAACTTAGAGAGATTTCTCACAGTTTGACACGATGTTTCTTGGTGTAACTTAATGTATTTTATTTTTCGGATTATCTCAGTAGTTAAACATTCGCAGTCGATACGCATTTGAGTTCTCTCGTTCTGTGATTTCTGGCTTGGAACTATTAGCAGATTATATTTTTAGCCCTTAACGTAACGCAAAGGAAGACAGCAATCATTTCAGAATTTCCCGCGATTGAAAACAATAGAAAATATCTCGATAGATGTGATCTGCACACTATGAAAATTTGAGAGAGAGAAAAAAGAGAGAATTTTATTTGGTTGAATCAGGCTGAGATACCGAAATTTGCAAAGCGAGCAAGCTGCTAAATACGATATTTTGAGTTACTCAAAAGAATAATAGAAGAGAGGAAGACTGGATAGGGGGAATGACGGAATATTTTAAGGCGCAGAATGAGGGGAATTCAAAAATGCTGATTGCCTTTTTGTACGAAACTAGAGAAATTTCAATTTAAAAATGGAATGCAATAAAATCAGAAAATTATTTACAATTAACTGGAAAAATTATGAGAAGCATAGATAATCATTGTTGGCGCCCAGAGCCTATAGGTAAACCATGAGGCTTTCGAACTAGCCACTTTAAATTATTGTTATTATATTACTATTGTTATCACTGATCATTATTGTTAACATCATCATTTGTCATCATTCAATTATTGGTTGAATGTCAATTACACAATATATTCTAGCTTGAATCACCTTTCTCTTGTAGAACAGGGTGCTCATAATATTGCATGATGCGGTAGAAATTTTTCTGTTTTGAATGTGAAGCAAATTAATTCTGCAATACTACCTTCTACCGTCATTATATAGCCTTTAGTTCTTTGTCATAAAAATTGTGTGATCCCAGTAGCCAAATGCACTCTTTATCTGTCTACTTTTCCTATATGCTGTTGAATTCTATTACAGCTCATTACATCATTTCCAGGTGTGATAATAGTGGCATACTAGCGACGATAGTAAGTTTTACCTTGGGTGCTGTTGTTGGTAGTGGTAAGTATGAACTCTTTTTTATATCTTTTATAACTCCTATGTTTAAAAATCAATCCCTCTGCGAGAAAAAGCCGATGATGGTTCCTATATGACTGATTTTTTGGAAAAAGTGAAATACAAATCTATTTGATGAACAGTTATCTGATCTGTTTTAGTAGTTTCTTATACAGTTTATGATAGTTTCCTTATCCAAGGTGTGGAAGTTGGGAAAAATGTTGGTAAATGAAATGGTTATCTGATTAATTGATAATAGTCTTTCATAGTTATCATCAACAAAGATAACTATTAGGAAGTATCAAATCATATCAGGGATTATTAAATCAATTGATGTTTATCCCAACTTTTTGATAAAATCAGTCCTTTATGGGCCTCTACCACTCCTACTGTGTGGCGTGTTCTATTTGAGAACAGAAGATAAAATAGACTAATTAATTGAACCATCATTTCATTCATGAACAAATGTTCTTTCTTATACAGATTTTAACATCGTTTTAAAAAAATTGTCGATAAAAAGCTGCACACTGGGTAAAAATGATCAATGTTTCTCCTCCCACCCCCCTCCTTTTGTGCCCCTTTTTCTTTATGGACATCGATTATTACACAGCACAGATACCAGTGACTGCTGAATTCTTGTCGTTTGAAGAAAGCAAGATAGTGAAATTTTTAACGAAATTGCTGAAATGTCAATCTTAATACGTCTAGACTATCATTTTTCCTTTTTTACAGGAAAAGTTTTCTATTAAAGAAGACTTTTCCTGAAAGTCTCCTAAAATGTCACAATTGAACTAATTGGTATGTCCGTATTTTCTTTTGCAGAGATAGGGACGCAAAATAGTCACCGTGGAAATAGCTCTCGGAATCGACGAAAATCAGGTATTGATATGTTAAGGGAAGCAAGAAAAAATTTTTCAGTAAGGTCCTTTAGAAAAGTGCGATGACAGTAGCCTCTTTGACGCTGTTAAACCGAATATTATTTAGATGTAAAGAAAACTTTTCAACCTTGAATCTTTTTGGAAAGTTTACTCATCACTGAAGGAACTGTTGATCTCCGAGTTCGGTGGATATGTAAACTATCGTCAATGATTAACGGATGGTTTTGATGGCATCGACAGAGATGCAATCAGTTTGGTTTTTAATGACTATTTGCGGGTTTTTTTTTGAACCATCATGAGTAAGAATGTTTTGAATATTGACGATGGAAGACATATTTTGCGTGTGCGAGAATTTAAGAGACCCTGATTGTGCATCAGATTTATCAAGACATGTGGCTGTTTCGCGGTCGCTTTGAAGAAGTGAGTGGTCAAATTCGTATTTATAATCGAATATGTAATGTTCTCTTTGTTTCAGTATTCTCTCTCCCCCTCCTCCTCCCCTCCCCCTCCTTGACATCCTTGTATGGTGGTGACGGTCGCCCATTTCCCCCCTCTCTATCAGTTTTATTACCTTGCTACAATATACTTCAGAACGCATTTTATGTGACTACAAGTGTTTTTGACTGATACAAATTAAACGTATGAGGCAGTGAATTCAACGAGTTTCTTTAACGTCAGAAGAGTGCATGATTATTTTCGTCCGCAAGAATGTTTTCCCATCCAGCTGCCACTGTTTACGTAAGATCGTTGAATTAATCAGCCACTAATTTCGACTGTTTCCACGTTCTTGCTTCACACTTTATAGTATGCAGTGGAAGCAATTTACAGGGTTATGTTTGTGCCTGAACTCGATATACTATTTTGTGCACTCCAAAGGTGACATTTAAAGTAACGATGCTATGTGTGAATTGTAAAAATCAGTTTTTCAGATGAAAATCCGCGTGTTGAAGACGAAAACTACATTTTTTTGGAATTAGGTGACTCAAAGCCACTTTGATTAGGTCAAGTGTCTCAGCCCTGTAAGAGAAAACGAATAATGAATAATTCTAAGAAATTGCTGAAATCGGCCAACATGTTATATAGGACACTTTTCGCCCCTCTCTCCCCCCAGAGGTCGAAATGAGAAGACTCCCTACGCGTGTTTTTGCTGTGCTCGATATCTGTTGCCAGTCATCGACCAGAGATATAAAATCAGTTTTTACTTCTTTATATTAATCAAAATTTAAAGGTAGTTTTCCCGTAACCTTTGCGTCACATTAGTGTCTCGTATTCATCCGATCTGCCTGAGTTATTCATGTGGATATCACATGTCTGGTGTCACTTGTCTAAGTGATTTCACCCATTGGCTACTCTTAGACAGTGACCTCACTCTAAACAAATACATCCTGTAAACCCAGCTATGAACAACGCACGCGAATTCCAATCTCGGAAAGAATATCAACAACCAACTTGTTTAACCTTTGGAACAAACCTTGTGAGATTTCCCACAGATTCTTGCTGCACGCCATACAGTGAGGTAGGTCACTGTTTCCTCTTTTAGCAATGTTAGCCCATTTACGGGTCCATTTTCCAAATCGATCCGTCTCACCTCATTCTCCATTTGCTTTATTCAGTGTTGTACGACAGTGGTACGCATACGATCCGGTGTTGCTTCCGCAGCATGAGTTATTGAATCTTTTGAGTTGTATTTGAAAACTAGCATATAAATCACCAATCAAAAGAGCGTAAGGAAAAAACAAACAGATGAAAAACTAGTGCGAAAATGAACAGGAAAAATAAAGATGAAATATTGTCGTCACTATCACGCAATCTTAGCTGTAAGATTGGCCCAACAAGTTGCAGCCAGTTTTCGTGAGCAAGAAATTGGGGCAAGATCTTAAGATTCTTGATGAAGAGCATTTCAAATACTAAACAATCAAATTTGCCCTGGCACTTTCTTAAAACTGTGAATTGGTTTTCTTTCAAGAGGTTGTTGTTTCCCTGAGTTTCTAAGAAATGTCTACCGATTGCCGAATTCTTGTGCTCAGCAATGCTTTAATGAAGATGTCGGGCTGTGTATTCGACATAATTTGCATCACACAGATCACATGAAAAAAGATAAACAACACACTGCCCATTAACAATTGACGGCTTAATTTCTTTGGGTTTAAGCCTAATTTAAAGATCCAGACGGACTCCATACGTGGGAAACTTTTTGTTTAATATTTTTTTATATTTTTAATCATCGTTTTCTCACGTTACAGCTTTTAATCAGATATTGTTTTTAAGTATTTATAGACTGGAACTCACAAACATATTTTGACTTGATAATGACGTTTAGCCAACGTCGAAACGTCCTCGTCTCTTGGCAATTTTTTAATCTTAAAATGGTATTAAGAAATGTTAGTATCGCCATTTTTTATTGTTAAATGCTTTTCGAAATCACTTCTTGTTTGTACACTATCACATGGCATGTCAAATGTTTTACTTCAGACTGTCGTCTAGTGCCCTAATTCAATTCACTTACATTTTGTACAACTAAAAATAACGACAATAATAATAATGACAATAATAATAATGACAATAATAATAATGATAATAGTAATAATAATGAGTAGAAGAAGATCAAGAAGAAAAATTAATTATCAACGATACAAAGTGATCCACGAATCCGCAAAACCAGGCCGCTAAGTAATACCAATGACATTTGAATCCATCCGTATTTGCTGTTTTTTTTTTTTCTTTTTAATCTACTATGCAAATCTTTGTCGCTATGACGTCAGCTCAGAAGGGTTTCTCGGAATTGATTGAAGGGAACGTTTGTTCGCGCCAATTTTTAATTCATTAGACCTTTATGTTTTCATTTGTTCGTTTACTTATCATTTATCTGTAAGCTTGTAAAGAAAAACAATCATCATTTAGAACTGGTAACACTGAAAACGTTGGGTCACAGCCCGTTTAAAAGAATGTAATTACCCCGTTTCCAACTATAATTTGCATCAAATTATTTTCTTCGAGGCGCTGACAAAGCTCGTATGCGCAATGGCAAACTACCGAGAGAAGATTCTCTCTTGATTGCGAGAATTTGAAAGGCACATTAACCCTTTCTGGAGGAAAAAAAAATTATGGAAAGGGTGACCCTCGTGGAGTGGAGGGATGTGTCTGTTTTTCTTAGAAATATATCTTAAGTTAGAAGTGATGTTGACGGATCTCGTTTAAACATCTTGATGTGGGTAACATTTCCTTTCAAAACCGTTTGCATGGAAACAGAGAAGTTTGGTGTTCTCTGGTTATTTTTTATTATTCATTTATTTTTTGTCGAGTAGTATTCTTCTGTGAACAACATGAACGCGATCACTGTCTACAGTTTCTTAGTTTTTAAAATTTCTTAAAGTTTGGGTTTTCCCCACTCGTCTGCTTCAAGGTTATTTCCTCCTTAAATTTTCATAATCTGTCATATTCTTGACAAAGTAAACAAACACGTTACTTAATTTTGTATTTGTTTCTACAGGCTGTTTTCATGAAAACGTCCGTTGTTAAAGTTAATTTGTCATTATATAGCTTTCAGAATATTGAAGACTTCGAAACACACCAGATCAGATCTAACGATAGTTGATTAAACGATGCCATCCGGTATGTCAAACTGGTGATTATTGGAAGTATATTGATTGTTTGTTTATTTGTTTTCATTTTATTTATTTTTGTTGCTTTTTTATTTAATTGAGTTAGCTATCACTTATTAAAATAATAAGTCTACTTGTGATGGGGAGAATTCATTTTATTAGCGTTAGAATAATTTCGCTGGAGCAGGCATAAAGTATCATTTGCTGTGCTAAATTTGCTTGGTCAGAGAAGAACTCTAAAAGTTGGAAGGATGGAAGGCCATTAAAATCTTCATGCCCATATCAGTGCATAATTATCTTTTTTGCCTACTTTGCCTCATTGAACTCACTGCACCTGCCAAATCGTACCCCCACCCAGAAACCCAAAATCATAACATTCATATTTCAGCAAAAGAAAAAAAGAAACATAAATCGTTTGTTCTTGAATATAAATAAGCCATTTTTTTTATTACTGTTTTTAAGCTCTGGCATAAGTTTCTCTTGGCACTGAACTATGAAACTGGTTAAAACATTCATAACATTACATTTCAGTATTCGCTGTCACTGCGATGGCAGCTGTGGGGATTATAGGTGCCTTAATGAAATTTGCGTGGAGTGACGGTGAGTTTTAAGTCCCTATCTTTTGGCCGGGAAACATAAGCAGCAGATGTATGAAGGCATTTAAGGACCCTGTGTAATCAGTACAGCTCTTGGCTAAGAAATGTTAAGCCTTCAAGTGGGCATTTAATTGTAAGCTCAAATTTTCTTTTTCAGTCAGGGGCGTAGCAAGTCATTTCTGGCTTTTAAGCCTGTTCCCTACCCCGTGCCTTAACTATAGTGCGGCCGGGGAAGGTAGGGGAGGTCAAGTATCTTCCGAGAAAAGTTTTTTAAGCCCCAGCTTACTGGCTTAAAGGGAGCTACGCGCCTGTCAGTGAAGAAGATTTTTACGAAACGGGTCAAGAAAAAATTGAATTAGGTAATTATAATTATAATTTCTTCCTCTAGCATGTGGATAAATACTAATACCAACCACTGGTTATCAGTGAATCATTGTAGCATTTCAATTGTCTATGTTCGATGTGCAGCTAGAGTCGAAGGGAGACTTTCTGCTCTGTCATGACCGTCTTCGGAGTTAATTATTATTAATTGGTTAGTGAGGTAACCCCACAAGGATTTTCTTTTACTTTTTTCAGATGAGCCTGCGAAAAAAGGAGGAAGTGAAAGTCACAGACGAAGCGATGCAGGTATAAAAAGTTGAACGTAGAAGAACATTTTAAGAGCAAATCCTTGCAAAAAATCAAACATCAAATGGCAAAGTTAAAAAAACAAAATTCGCTGTTCTTTTGCATACAAGTAGCCTTTAGAAAGTATACTATTGTTGTGCACTTTTTTCCTTGAAAAAATTATTTGCTTCTGAAAAAACCAAAACGTTTCGTTTTCAGTCCCGAGATCGATTTGGCGACACCGAACAGGTTTAAAATAGGTCATGATTCACTCGACTCGCATATCAAAAAAACTGCGCTAGAAAAAGCTATCATGGTTCCAAGTTGTTTTACAACTTGTCATAGTCTAAACACCGTGATTTCATAAAGATTAGATTAATTCCAGTATTCAAGAGAAGTCAAAAGCTTATGGCTCTCCCGTGTTGCGTAAAACGGTAGGTGGAAAACAACGATAATTTTGAGCATGTGCCTTTACTCAGAATTTCGTAAGATTATTAATGATAATACTTAAGTTAATAATCTTTCATAATATGTAAAGTTTAGCTCGGGGAAATGAATTTGGAATTTTTCACAATTTTTTGAAAATCATGAGGAAAGACATAAAATCACGCAATCCTGTTGTGTATAGGTGACCATCAAGACATTGATATAAAAAAAATTAATACGACTCCGAAGCATATAGCAAAGTAAATATAATAGCCTTAACCCAAATATTATCAGCTGTTCATATGAGTCCAGAGTTGTTCTGTTTTGCCGTTTTCTCCATTCTGCGGTCTCCGTAAGTTTGACATCTGTACCGTCGCTTTATGTTTCGGCTCGATCAAAACGGCTGCTCCTGAAATCGTCTAAACTTTGCAATTTGTGTTCCTTGTGTGCTTGATACGACGTGTTGGTGTTCTTTGCGACAAAATTGAATAAAACACTGCTCAAACCGACTATTTAATGCTTATGTTCAGAGTTTTCTGCCATCGATCCTGTTCATGAGAGTTTGCCAAGAGGCCGAACGAGCTTGCGTGACAGTTGAATTTGTTCATAGCCTGGAGGGAGGGGGAGTGGGGGGAAAGAGGAGTATTCGGTCTCTCTTTATAATGCGTTAGTTTGGGGTAGCAGATTTCTTTTTACATCGCTAATAAACTATTTACCAAGAATTTATCTTCCTTGTTCTCCTCAATTATGTAATTAAATTAACCTCATTAGTGTATGTTTATTAATCACCTGAACTAAATAGAAATTCTAAATTTAAGAAAGACTATACTTTGCGAGTTCCTGCTCTTGGAGAAATGGTGGAGGTTTTTGCTCTTTCAGGAGTATAGTTCTTGTTCGCAAATTTATCATATTGTATTGTCGCGCTATGCAAGTAACGTAGGGTAGTTCAGTCAATTGGAAACCATCGAGACCTCTTTCCTGTTTTGAACTGATTTGATTGAAAACTTCGGAACAACGATCGTCAAAAACAAAAGAAAGGAGACAGATGGCAAAAAGAACCAACCTTGGCCACTGAGAATACCTTATCCACCCTATCATCGGTACCAATTACTGTCACCAACTCTTGCTTAGCCTGATATGCAAATTTTGTGTTGCTTTGCAAGCAAGACGTAATTTGCATAAAGTCTCAAAACGGTTCACGGTAAACTGCAAGGGAACACATGCTTGAACTAGTTGGCTTTATTGTCAGCCCTTTTATGGCTTCCTTCAGAATTTTCAGAAAGATTTATATGAACAGTATAGAGAGTACAAATGTGAAAAGTGAGCTACGAAGAATTCATTGAAAACTAAGTTAAGCCGGTTTTGATCGTAGCTGCAGCGGCGGGC